TTGTGTTGGATTGACATATTTACTATACCACGAGATGTTTTGAACTACATGTTAGTGTTGCTATCATTTTCAAGTTGAAGATTCATTTTATGTTATTATGAATTAGGATTGTATGGTTTCATTTTATGTTATTATGAATTAGTAATTTTTTAAACTAGATTTATGGCATATTACTTTTTTTTTTATATCGATAACATTTAATACTTAATAAAAATTATTATAATCTAAAAACAGAATTTAAAAAAATTCAATAAAAGTATATAAAATTTTAATATAATTAATTAAAAATAATTGGTTGAAAAAAAATAAAGCTATCATTTATCGTAGAATTTTCAAATTCCAACAAAATAATTTAAAAAATAAAAAAATAAAAAACTTTAATTAATACAATGTTTAGAAGAGATTGGAGATTGTCACAAAATAAACTCTACATATTTTGGATGGTTAACCCCTCGAGTATAACCATTATAATTTGGTACCAACGTTTAGGTAAACAAACTCTGGAATACAAACTAGTTAGTTTTGTTCAGATTTGTTCTCTAAAGTGAACTCATCAACTAGGTGTTTGGATACACTACTACAAAAAAGTTTTTTAATAGCGTTTTTGTTTTGTTTTTTAATAGCGTTTTTGTTTTGTTTTTTAATAGCGCTTTAAAGCGCTATTAATCAAGGCGCTATTGTAAAACAAAATTTTTAATAGCGCTTTAAAAGCGCTATTATAGTTCTGGTAATTAATAGCGCTTTTTCAAAAGCGCTATTATAGGACCTGTATTTAATAGCGCTTTTACAAAACCGCTATTATAAGTCACATATTTGATAGCGCTTTCAAACAAATCGCTATTATAGCACCGATAATTTGCTTTAATTTTGATAGCACTTTCAAACAAAGCGCTATTATAGTACACATATTTAATAGCGCTTTCCAATAAAGCGCTATTATAAGACACATATTTAATAACACTTTCAAACAAAGCGCTATTATAATCCACATATTTGATAGCACTTCCAAACAAAACGCTATTGAAATACCGGTAAATTGCTTTAATTTTGATAGCACTTTCTAACAAAGCGCTATTATAGCACGCTCTCTTCAAAACGCTATTCTAATACACTTTTTTTTTACACCAAATCATATATATATATATATATATATATATATATATATATATATATATATATATATATATATATATATATATATATATATATATATATATATATATATATATATATATATATATATATATATATATATATATATATATATATATATATATATATATATATATATATATATATATATATATATATATATATATATATATATATATATATATATATATATATATATATATATATATATATATATATATATGTATATATATATATATGTGGCATTTGCATTTTACAACATTAGAATTCATAAAATAATTATAACTAAGTAGCTAAAATACTTGAAATTAAAATAATAATAACAAATGTGATACCATTAATTTGGCTTAAGAGTACTTCAAACCAAAATATTTTATAAACACAACTAAAGTATTTTGTCATGTAGTTATTAATTTGGCTAAGAGTACTTCAAACCAAATTCCAAACAAAAAGTACAATCACTTAGCTAGGCATATTCTCTAAACTAATGAAAAAAACATCTAAAAAACAAGAAAAGGACAACAAAAACAACATCAACTAGCTAGTAACCACTTTGCCAACCAAAACACTGCTACATCCAAAGATACAACCAGTTTGCTAGCTAGCTAGGCAAAATCATTGCTTCTTGTTTTCCTGCATCATAGAAAGAATATTGATTATGTATTGTACAATAATCAAAAAACAAAAACCTGAAAACAAAATATTAATATATAATTAAAAAAGAACATCATTTTACCTAACTAAGTTCAATGGTAACAACAGGATTCAAATGAACACCTTAAGTGATCAAAATGGTACAACCAATTCAAACTTTTAATATGAAAGTAAGGTATTAAGTATCTATATATTGTAGGCTTACCGAAAATATCATCCACCATATAGGTAGCCCAATCATCTTTGACCTCAGTTAACTTATCCTTAGAGTAGGTACGACACTTGTGGTCAGGAAAGTACTTCAAATATAAAAACATCAACAATTGTATTAGAACTAAGTTACATTAATTTACAAAGCTTTAACAATTAAAATCACGTACATTTATGGGGATCATAATTTCATTTTCCATGATGACCTCTTTCATAAATCGCATTACAAAATATCCACAGTCAACGCTATTAATTTGACGGGGACACTGCAAAAAAACATTTACATATATTACTTTTACTCTACATAATTGTTTTAAAATAACGTTAATTTGGACATACCCGGATTTTTGACCATGAAATTTTCTTTGACTTGGAGACTTTAGGCACTTTAGAGTTACTATTAGCACGATAAATTTGCAATGCACTAATAAAATGAAATTAACTTTAAATGAGTAATTATTATAACTAAGAATACTTATATAAATGTTAAATTAAAAGAGTCTATACTTACTTCTCAAACTTGGTTTTTAAATTTTGATGTTTAGTTGGTTCACCATTCAACGGATCCATGTAATATATCACCTCAGCATCGAGATTGATGACAAGTAGTACCCAATATTTCCTGCAACACATATAATATTGCAATACACTCAGAACTTGGATACTTCACCTTCCATTGCAGTACATATAATATTGATGCATATAATATACTTATATAGTTTTTTCTCATAAATTTAATAACATTTTGAATAGAAAACTCACCCTAGATTGCAAGGTGCAAGAATCATCTTATCCTTGAAGTACTCCTCATCTTTCAGAAGTATTTTTGCTATAGCATTTCCTAGATTATCCTCCCTTGATACATGTGGGGATATGAAGGAGAACTTATTTATTAATCCATTTGCACTAATAAACTTGTCATACAAATACCTAGAAATGAACAACAATAATTGGTATTAATATATTTGTCAACAATGTAAATATTAATATATTTGTCAGATTAGAGGAAATTTGTAATAATAGAGGTACCTGGAAAATACAGTGATAACAGAGGCACTTAACCAATTGTGATCAAGAATCTCTTTTATACTCTCTACACGTAGATGCTCTATAAACTCCTCACCAAATATACTTTCCTCCATTTTTATTTGAATTAACGATCCAACCCTCATCATCTTTTTCACATACATATCAAGGAAAGGTAAATTTACAAGATTGGTTGAACCGCCAACTCTAGGAGACTCTTCAATTTTGAATTTTATGTTGCTTTTGTTAGGTGACGAAACAGAATCAACACTTCGTTGGGTATTCTTAACTTTGTTTTGGGATTGATCAGGATTCTAAAAAGTTTTATTAATTAAGGTTAGTGATCAAATAATAAAACAAATAACGATCAAGCAAGTTAATAATAAGTAATTTACCTTTTCACGTTCAGCAACAAATTCAAGAAGGTTCATTGGCCATGGCACAATTGTTCCTATTGCCTGACCAGCCATCGATACATCACCACCTTCAACAGATATAGGCAATTGAGCATTTGGCACAATAGCAACTTCGATATTAACCTTGACATATCCAGGTGGTAACGTCATGCCGTGCACTGTGTTACCTTTGGTGTTATATAGTTTGCCACGAGCAACCAAACACCGACTCGTGGATGATAAATATATATTAACAGGAAGGAGACCCTGCAATGAGATACGAATAAAAACATTAATATCATTATTTACAAAATAAACATATATGAACTGCTTTGACTGTACTGACACTGACTGTACCGACACAAAGATCATTTTTCTATTGTCAAAAGATTTTCTTCTGAAATCATGGTTTTTCATATCTATCTTGGCCCATATGTTCTGATACCAATGAGATATATTGTAATTGCATTTATCTTCTTCCAGTAGATCCCAGTTTAAGTAAATTCCATCAGATGCAGATAGAGGTTGGGTCTTTATGTTTGAAAGTAGTTCTCCAATGATATCATGTACATTAATCATCTTTATATGGTCAGAGATTACAGGTACAGGGTGGATCACTGCTGAGGTTGTTTTATAAAATTTTAAAGTATTGTTTCTGTCAACCACAACTATGCTATGTACCACTCTCCATTTAAAAGGTGATATTGTTAATGTAGTTCTGTAGCGCAAAGTTCACAAAGCTATAAGGCTACATTGCACATTAAAATTATAAGGCTACAAAACTATAAGAGCTATAAGGCTACAGAGCTATAAGGCTACAGAGCTATAAGAGCTATAAGGCTACATTGCACATTGTTAATGTGTCTGCATAATTGACAACATATTATACTTTCTTGTAATAATTATGATTAACGGTTAGAGAAGAGAGTAATGATATTATTAGTTAAAGTACATGTTCACATTCCAATAAACGAGGACAACATAGATTCGACATTTGCAACATCATTGAAAAAGGGTCTGTTACACAGGATTTACCACAGGCAGTGACGATAATTTGTCACTTCTTGACGCTGCCGCATCAGACACATTCGGTAATTCTTATTTTAAGAACTTGCAAAACAAAAAGGGTCTGTTACACTCAGATCAACAACTTTTCAACGGTGGTTCAACGAATTCTCAAGTTAATTCTTATGTTAATAACCCTGCAAGTTTTCAAAACACATCTTATCCTACAGACTACAGACTAGAGACTGCTGAGGCTGCAAAAACCGCCTTGATTATTAAAAGAACACATCTTGTCCTACAGACTATAGACTACAGACTACGACATTATGCAGACTAGAGACTGCTGAGGCTGCTAAGCGGAAAACAGCAGAAATTGCTGAGGCGGCTAATTAAACAGAAAACAGCTGAGCCTTATAGCTCTGAATAAAAATAGAGACCCTAAACCAATGAGATACAAATAAAAACATTAATATCATTATTTACAAAACAAACATATATGAACTGCTTTGAATTACCTCGGGAATATTACCGAATGATCCAGGGTTGCAAGAACCTTTATCACTTAACTCTTGGTATTATCGAAAAATACCATAGCGTTTTGGCTGAAGTTGTCTCTTTCTTCTTATATCGTGGGGCACTACATTTAGGACACATATCTAATGATGCATACTCGTTGCGAAATAACATGCAATCATTCGTACAAGCATGTATCTTCTCATAACTCATTCCAATAGAACATAATAATCGTTTAGCCTCATAGGTTCGACTAGGGAGCACATTATTCTTAGGCAAAATCTCATTTAACAGAGTCAACAAGTCTGTGAAACTCCTATCAGACCATCCATGGCGTGCTTTTAAGTTATACAATTTTAAGACCATAGACAATCTTGTAAATTTAGTACATCCTTCGTACAATGGAGTCTCTGCATCACTTACTAGCCTCTCAAACATTTGAGGACAATCGCGAAGATCTTCTTCAATTACATTCACAAATTCTTCAACTCGATCAAACTCATAATTTGTATCTTGTTCAAAATCATTTGATTTATCTCTCCCATTGCTCCTCTTTGTTGACTTGTTTTTTTTTCCTCCGTGCATTATCCAACATGTATAACTTTTATCAATTCCATTACATATTAAGTGATCTTCCAAAACATTTGCATTAACATACGTATAACAACATTTTAAGCAAGGGCATATGATTTTACTAGTGTCTTCGGCATGAGCAATAGCAAACCTAACAAACTCTTGAACCCCATCTTCGTATTCTTTTGACGCTCGACTAGCAAACATCCATTTCCGATCCATATTTCCTAACACGTAATATATATAACTAGTTAACAACTGCTTCTAACAACCAAATTAGGTTCTACCTATGAATCATACGCCCAATTTCAAGGTCTTGGTCCTATAAGGGCATATATATATATATATATATATATATATATATATATATATATATATATATATATATATATATATATATATATATATATATATATATATATATATATATATATATATATATATATATATATATATAACGACAGAACCATACAATCAGATGTACTTCATCTGTCACTGCTGTGTTTGGATATTGCTTAGCAAATTAAATGAAGAAACTGTGTCAAAATGGTTTTTCCTTCTTGCAACATTCTTGAAAACTTAAAGACAGAATATGAAAAACATACATTTACTCACAGAATATGAAGAAACTGTGTTTGGATACTGCTGTGTTTACATCACATCTTTATTTAATTTGAGAATAAATAAGCCAAAAGTTAGGACATATGTAGATCTAGGTTATATTAAGCCAAATTTTTTTAAACGGGGTTGCTCATTGCACTCTTAATAATTATCTTAAAGTATATCTAAAATACCTGTTTCAACTCTTCAGAGTTTGAAAAGGCATGTTTTTAAGTTTCTAAATCTATAGCATAATAATGAGGGGATAGTTTATACTAGAAAATATCAGTCTTCTATAAAATCATATAATCATTTTAATGCCTATAAGCTGAAGCAACGACAGAACAAGGGACATGTCTTTTGGTCAATCATGATTTCAAAAAATTTCAAGGAAATTCATCTCTTGGGCAACGTGTTGTTTCCCCTCATCTACTTGGTACTTTTAATCTTCCCAAAGATTTTTAAAACACTTACTAATTAAGCAGAAACTTAAAGTCTTTACTGTACATTGAAAGCATTTGTGCACCTGTGAATATTGTCATCCAACTCAACTCTTCACCGTCACGACAATTGCTATAGATTTGGCTAGGAATTGATTCTCGTCAGTTGGATTCGTTGTTGTCCTATAGCAATTGTCGTGACGGTGAATAATGACTACATCAACAACTACCTCCTACCCGGACTTTATTCCAGCAGTTCCAATTATACAGCTTAGGATTAAATTGATCATTTACCTCGTATTGAAGGCACTTCACAGCTTAGGATTGAGGAAGATCTTCATCACAATTTGTATTCTCACAAGAAATTGGTTGATAAAAAGAGGTGAAGACTCTGATGTTAAGTGTCTGAAACAATTTAAAGAAACAACGCGAATGAAGCACAACGCGTCGAGCACTGTAACAACAAATTCAGACAAAGCAAAACCAATTAGTACAAGATACCTTTTCAGCTTTATTACAATCTACTTATGTTACTATTATTTGTTTGTTTCAGTTAGTTATATACCTTTTCAAAACTTATTCATAAATCGATGTGGGGTTTATGTTCACCAAACATTTACTTCATTTTTAGTTACTAAGCTGTCGGAAAAAAGAAATTCATTTTTAATCGTAAGTTACACATAACTTACTCTTTATACATATTCTAACTATTATTTGCAGTCTGAGTGTAGCAAAATAAATTCATCTAAATTGGAGGGACGATGGCTTAATTATATCATTTACTGACTTGGAATCTGCTCCGACCTGTGAGTATTATCTCTTACCATCATTTTTCCCCTTTTCTTAAGTTTTAACCACATAATATAAAAGTTCACTTGATAAAAGAAAAAGCCATGATATATGAGACTTGTGTAATGAGAGGAATGTTTTACATGCTGAGTCTAGCAACATTAGATTATATTTCATGCCTGTGCATGAACTCTTCTAAACAATCTATGTTTGTTTCCTGTCTCTGATAGAACTCACAAATATAATGAAAGAAATTGTGTCAATTATATCATTAAACTTTTATCATTTCATTGTAGCCACTAACTAAAACCTACAACTCCTTTATTTATTATGAATTAAGGATAAATTCCTGTTTGCTAACAAAAGTAGCAATTCATAGAAACTATTGATAAAAAAATATGTATAAATAAGTTCATACAACATTGCTAACAAATAAGTGTCGCTTCCGCGAAAATAAGGTGCCGGCAAAACAGAAGAGTCGCCACCTTTCGTTATTTATCCCTCGGAACGGGAAAGGAAATGATCGGAAAAACCTGACGAAAAGGTATAAGACAAGGTCATCGCAACCGTTGTCTGGGTTCGGGAGTCGGTTACGCAAGGGGAAGGTATTAGCACCCCCACGTCCGTCGTACTCGACGAGATCCATACTTGTTGTGTTTACTGGACGAGTTGGTTTATCTATCTACCTATCAAGGCTGGCTTAAACAGAAAAGAAAAATGACTCGACAAAGCGTCGCGCTTTATGCCTACGTATTCTCATCAGAGAATGAGAAATCAGAGTCAACGTAGTTCGCCTAACTACGGGTTACGGGGAAGGTGGCTCGCCAATACATCGGTATTATACCTACATACTCTCAATAGGTATGAGAGATCAGAGCTTACGTAGTTCGGGATAATATGGATTACGGGGATTCAAATTCATCTGTTTTATCGAGTAGGGTTAAACAACAGTTCCAGCAGTTAGGGACAAAGCCTGTTTGCGTTGGCGCTGAAGTTTAACGACACTCTTTTCTTCAGAAAAGCTTTCCTTGGAATTATGGGCCCACGGGGCAAAAAGGTTTGAAGTTTGTTTTCTGTCTTTTACGAAAGAACTGTTTTTTATGGTTGTTTGCAATTTCAATCGCACTAAAGACTATGACCTGAGAGTGAATGCGTCGCATGTCACCCAAAGGGTACCGTACTAAACATCCAGACTGTTGGAAAGAAGCTCTCCAACAATCCTTTCTCAGATAGCTTAAGGCTCGTAACGTACGAAAGAAATCATTCATGATTACTGTATCTTAAGCTGTTTTGAGATGAGAAGAGAACATGCTCAACTAAGGGAGACTATCAAGTCCTACTGTTGTCATGCCAAGGATTCATCCTATAGTTGAGGTTTGAAATAGGGAACTCCTAGAAGTTATCATGCATAGGTTTCAACCTAAAGTTCTATCATCACTTCCTTATCAAAGGATGTGAGATTCCTAAGGGGTCATGTCAATGGTAAACAGAAACAGATAAAGCATCAGCTTAAATAGTAAACAGTAATACGGTAAAATGCATGCAATGCAAGTGAGGGAGGAAATGTGTGTGGGGCATCAGCCTCCACAAGCTCATCTCAACCTCAAGCCAGAATGAATAACAATAATCATACAGAAAAAGAACATCATGCTATCAAACAGAATATATGAGACTGCAATCATACAGAAGAAAATGAAATGCTGTCAAGCAAAATAAACCACATGGGCAAGGGAGCTGGGCTCTACCGAATACCCGCAAGCAAAGCCATACAGTAACAATACAAGCAGAGGGAGCAACTCAACCTCTAGTGCAATCATGCTCCTAATTCAAGTCAGTCTAGATATGGACTTATTCTAATGCATCAAGCAAGTCAAACAAGGCACATCAATACAGAAAAGAAAACAAACAAGAAAGAAAGCAGATCAACCCCTTTCTTAATTCCAAGCTTCAGCTCTTCTAACATCAACTCAATCTTCAGACTTCAATCACCCTTCAAGGCTATCATCTTCACTAACAAGTATCAACTTGCTCCTCCAAGGTTTCAATCCACCCAACATAAGTGTCAACTTATTCTTTCTTCCTCAAGCTTCAGCTTCTCAGTCCATTCCACCTTCAGGCTTCACTCTTAACTGCCAATATCAACTTGATTCCTTCAGGCTCTCCAAGCATCAGTGTAAGTATCAACTCATCCTTTTATTCCTCAGCTTCAGCTTTACACTCAATCTCAATTGAATCCTCTCCATAAGTATCAACTTAGTCTTTAAGCTTCAGCTCTCTTGCTTTACCAATATCAACTTGGTCTTCTTCTCCTACAAGCTTCAGCTTCTCAGAGTAGTCTTCAATCACCTGGAAGTGTCAACTTCATCCTTCAATCTTCTTCAAGCAAGGAACTCCTCACTATCTCCATTGGATCTTCAAGTATCAACTTGCTCTTCAAGCTCTTCAAGCTTCAGCTGAAATGTCAATGCTCAAGGAATCATCCTCTTCCACACTCTTCAATGAAGTCCTCATCTTCAAAGTCATCTCTCAAGATACTCAAACCAGAAGACAATTGATTTAACAGAATGAGAGGAAATGATAAACAGCTTACTGACAACCAAAGGAAGCTTGTAAGGGTTCATCATTATGAGAGACTGGTTCCCTCAAAGTTCTACTTCCCAGATAAAGCCACTCATCCCTCCAAAGGAGGGATGTGAATATCTTAGAAGGACTTTTAGTCATTGGGAGGAATGGAAGCACAAGATGCTTTCCACATTTGTGAAAGAAATCATTCTAATCATAAGGCTCTCCCTATATCCTCTATCTCCTAAATCTTCATCAGATACCTTCAGGCATAAGCAAATCCAAGCTCCAAGCAACTTCAAGCAACTTCAAGCATCCTCACCTTGTCTTCAACTTGTCTTCAATCTCAACCAAGGGCAAACCAAGCACAAACCCTAATCTAAGGGGACTAAGGAAGTTAAACTAGTTGAATTAGTAAGTTAGGATCACCTAAAACCTAGTACTAAAGTTAGTCCTAACTAAAATACTAAAACCAATTGTAAAATCCTACAAAAATTACTATGGGAACTTAGGTCAATCATGACTCTACCACATTAATTTCAGAGATCAAATCATCAAATTAGACCTAGAACTAAATCCTACATTATGAGGTATCAAACCTAAACCCTAAAAGGAAGCACCTAAATATCAATCTAGAAAGCACACCTATTTTCATCACAAAAATGTGAGAAAAATTCTATGGGAGCATACATGTCTAACCTAATCACACACAAAAAATTAGGCTCAAAATCATCACCACATGATCACACAAAATTCCACAAAATTATGTATCAAACATAACCATTTTAATATCAATTAAAATGTAAAATTCCCATTAAATCAGAAAATACA